CCCTAAATTGCATGTATATGTGGGGATTGATGTGAAGAGGCCTGTAAGTGAATTTGCATGTGTGGATGCTCTTTTAGCTACTTGCAAAAGACAAAATGTCAGATTGGAGTTTATTCTATCGGCTTTCTGGTAAATACCATTTTTTCATGCAAGTTAAATGTGTCTCTTGAGCTGAGGTCAGTGGTAGTCAATGATGTTTCTTGAGCTGAGGTCAGTGGTAGTCAAGTGCTCTTTCAGTGGGGGACTAGCGATTTTCTATGTAGAAGTCATGTGTTTATGACTGTTTAGACATAGAGTTGTCTGTCCGTGACGATTCTTTTTCTGAGTCAGCAAATAATAACTCTGGGTACTGGGGCCTGCCCTCGCAGAGGCTGGTAAGTGAAGGATTGAGCTTGGTCCTCGCAGCACAGGGTTAAGGCAGAAGAGCATGTCGGTACAGGTGTTTATGCACTGTCTGTAATCACCGTGAAGACTTTTCCCACACACTCAAGCACAGGGAGGTCCTCCCTCCTAGCAGAGCTTTTAGAAGTGGAGTAAGGAAGACCAAGACCTTCACTCCTTGTTTTCCTTCTTAGAATTAATTTCTTTGGCTTTCTTAACATGTTTTTCCCCCCCTCTGATGCTCACTGGTGCTGTTGAATCACTTTGTTGCTCACTTTTTGCGTTCTCCCATTTGTGTTTGTTTACCAGCACCTGTCTTTCCTGGCTGCTAACAGCCAGGTGCTGTTTGCATCTCTCTACCCTCTCCTGGTCTCCAGGCATTTCCGTGTCGTTTCTAGTACGTTTCCATTTCCCTTGGGATGAGGAGGAGATTTTGAGGGTAAGTTGGAAGTCAGCGGAGCAGCAGTGGCATCCAGTGGCCTTCTCAGTTCATCACAAGTTGAAACTTGTGCTGAAAGATGGGGAAATCAGAGGTCTTCATTTCTCCCATCTCATTTGTGAGTCTGAGTGAAAGCTGTTGGTCAAAATCAGGTATGTTGGACCTGGATGCCACTGTCTGGTAAGATGTCACACTGAGGCCAGGCACTTTGGTCTGTTTTACGTTGGGAGTTCCCCAGCTCTGGAAGTCACTGGCACTGTTAGATTTCTGGGGAGGACGAATCTGTCAGGGAACCTCTTTTCCTCTAGGTGTGAAAATACTTTTTTCAGAGATACCTCTGTGCTGTTATTGGATACTGTGTTTATGTTACTGGGATTCAGGTTAAACCAAGCACTTGCTGTGCAGTGACTGTCCGAGCAAAGAATGGGTGATCCGTAAGAGTAAGGGAAGAAAAGCAGTCTTCTCAAGAAGCCCAGGACTTTGTTGTGGTAGTCACTCTGTGCGTGTTACAGCTTTTCATCCTCTTTCACCCTTACCCATCTGGAGTGGTAACTTCTGAGAAAAAGTCTGCCAGGTATTCTGTGGATGTATGTTAATTGCATGATGACCTCATGTTCTGAAAGTTTGGTAAGCATGACAGAAAAATTGGTGTAGTTACAGGAAAAAATGCTACTAGTTCTGCCTTCCTCCTTCCAAGGAGACCATTGTAAGATTCCTCTCCTTGCTTAATACCTGGCATAATCACTTTTTTTGTTATTTGCTGCTTTATTTTGCTTTATTTTTTTTAACTGAGTGTTTTATAAACTCAAGAACTAAGTGCCTCATTTTCTTGCTGAGCAGTCTTAGAGATTAATTTTTTTTCTGTTGTTAAACATTTTAATTCATATCTTTGTTGGATATACAAACATTTTCCCTCTGATTGTGCTGTAATAAGTAATCTTTGCCATCCGGTCTTCTAATTAATATGTGTCTGATTTACAGAATTTAAGAACTGAACATATTCTTTTACTCTGTTGGTAGAAAATTCCGAATACTGCAGAGTTTCTAGGCATTACTGTGAAACAGATAACTGTAATAATAAGCAGCACTTAAATAGAATTAATCACACAGCCCTTTTAAAGAAATCTGTTTTACAGGACATGCAGATTAGTTTTTTCTTCTGTAGAAGTGGAGGCTTTCAGCAAGATTTCCATATTTAATGGCAGTCTGGAATGGGGGAATCAAAATGAGTTGGGAGATAAACTTGTCTAGTGAGTGAGGCATCTGTTTGTTGAATACGTGGAGAGGGAGGTATGGTTAGAAACAGCTTTATGACTGTTTTAATAAAAAAAGGAAAGGAAAAGGAAGTGCTGCAATATACATAAGCAGTTACAGTTTAGTTCTAAGTAACTGCCTACATACAGGAATTTTAGAGACTATGGATGTATTCATTTATTTCCGTGACAGCTTCATATCTGTGTGCTACAAGGCAGCCCCTGTGAAATGGTGAAGTTTACGTACAGGAAGAGTGGCCTGAGCTATGTTTGCTTTTACAGCAGGGCATTGCACCAGCTACTATGGGAATATTTCTGAAGTACCCACCAGAGCTACCCAATAAACCCCCTTAATTTTTTCAGCAGCTAGTAAAGGCTCTTCAGCTTAAAATCTGTCTGAGCTTGTATTTGTATGACTTTGAACATGTAATAAGAACATACAGTAGTATGACAGAGGAATGACTAATTGAAATCTGGTGAAGGAAAGAAGAGGAGCGACTCTGTTCACTGTCAGTCTGAGTTGTGCCCAGAAGGAGCTTTGTTCTGCGCTCTGGGAGGATACCTGATTGTCTTGTCATGTGAAGGCAACTGCTCTGTGTCTGATGACAGCAGTGAGCAACTGCCGAAAAAAAGGAACAGATGAGTTGATCTTCCTGACTCTGCTTTTTCTCTGAGGTGTAAGCCAACACTTGAAAGTGCATAAATTAACACAAGTATGACAAGGGATGGATCTCTGGTTGCTACACCTGTACTCCCTACATGCTTAGTTCTGTGGGCTTCATTCATTTAATCCAGTGTTTGTAATGAACAGTCTTTCACCGTGGCCGTGTTTGTTATTTAATTCTATTTATTATAAACCAAGGAAAAACTTCGACAACTTCTAAAAAGCATCCCAAACAAATAACGAACCAAAACATTAATTCTGCTCCAAAAAAGCTCTTTGCCAGTCTAACACAGAAACTTTCTTAAAATGCTTTAATGCAGGCTGTTGTATTCAGAAGAGCAGTTCCTTGCTGGCTTATTGGTCACCTCTTTTTCTTACAGACAGCTCTTTTAAATTTACTTGATTTTTTTATTTGTGGTTTAATGAGACTTCTAATCCATGAAATCCAATGGATTATGAAGTCTTCAAGCTGATTTGTTAGTGGCTCATTCTTTAGAAGACAGACCATTGCATGTCACAAGATCCAGATGCTGGCACCCATGTTTGAGGAGAATATAGAACGGGTGGCAGAAGTAGTGGAATTGGGGCATTGTTTATTGCTCTTCGTATTTTGTGGTGTAATACTGTAACACGTACACTGTGATGAGAGACTTCAGCCAGGAATACAGGAATACCTATACATGGTACAAATTTAATGTATTATGACTAGGTGGAACATCCAAAGTAGAGCAATATGTCTCTTCTCATTGGCTTTTTTTGCCTGAATTGGTCACCTAGTATGAAAGATTCTAGTCTTTAGTACAGTATATACTGAAGACCTTGTGTAAGAAACAGTGCTGTTGTATATGTTTGCTTTTACATATAGGAACATACCAGTGTCTGATGGAGTTAATGAGCTTGCTCCCTTGCTGTCAGGAAAATGTAATATAGTTTTAATGTCGTCGTCAAGATCTGTAAAGTCGTTAGAATTAAAATTGCTAGGCTTGCATTCTAGTGTAGACCAAAGTATTTTGGTTTTTGTTAGTTCTAGTAGTTTACATAATGCTGGCTGTGTGTTTAAGGACTTCACAGCCTTTAGCTCGGAATGTGCTTCTTCAGTTAACCTTGTATTTTAATTTTAGGAGCCCACACAGATAATGGGAAACTTGCTAACTAACTTCTGCCTACCTTGTTAATTTTTCCTGTTTGAAAAAGAAAAAAAAGGCAAAGAAAAAGGAAGACATAACAATTGTTCCAAACATATTATGATTTGCCTGAGAAATAATGATTGTTTTCATTCTGATTTGTGTTTTTGCTCACAGAGGAGGAATTATTCAGTAATTTGTCCATATTCAATGAAACGTG